TCCCGGACCCCAGTCTACTTCTGAAAGGGATAGATGCTGCTACCAGCTCTCTTCTAGCTCTTCAGCCAATGGTGGCGTTCCGAGTTAGCGTGTTTAGGCATAAAAGCTCAATCGACTACAACCCGTCGGTAACGGGGGTTACGCAGCTAGTGAAACTCATTCAGGCTGAGTGCGAGTCTCTAGCCATGACTGTTGAGTCTCCTCCGGATAAAAAGGCCAGAGCTGCTGCTGCTGCTGCTGCCGCTGCGAAGGCCCCAGACCCCAAGCTTCCCAGCACATCTGCATCTTCTCAGACGCCGAGTCCCACTGTGGCAGCGGTATTTGGAGAGGCGGACGCTGGTAAAGGTAAGGGTAAGTCCTCGAAGGGTTCTGGTAGTACGGTTGAGTGTTTCAGGTTTGGTGACGGTACCGGGTGTCGCTTTGGGGATAGCTGTACTTTCAGGCACGATAGGGCTAAAGCTAGAAGGCAAAGTAGGTGCTTGGCTTGTGGTCAGAGCGGACACTACCGGCCGGACTGTCCGATTGTCCCAGCAGAGCTCAGACAGGTGCTGCCAGAGGGTGGATCGCCAAGTGCCAAGAGTCCTCCTAGCCCTAAGAAATCAGAGGCGAAGCCTAAGCCGAAGTCCCAGCCTCAAGCGAAGGGTATATCTGAGGATGCACCCTCTGGAAGTGCCGGTGCCAGGAATTCTGAAGCCTCTAGTGCTTCGGGCGCCAAGGAAGCCTTGTTTGCTGAAGCAGCCAAGCTTTTGCAAGGTGCAAGCGCAAAGGTTTTGAGGGTTGGCGAGTGGAACATAGATGAGACTTGGCTCTGTAGCGCTGTGAGTGCATCCAATCTTGAGTATGCCTTGATTGACTCTGGTGCCACAAACGCCTTAAGGTTTGCTTGTTCTGAGGAGCTTCGTGGGGCTGAGTCCATTCGGGTTGATCTGGCATCAGGTGTCACTGAATTGCACGTTAACGAGTATGGGACCTTGCTTAGCCCTGTTGATTGCCAGCTCATATTGCCTGCCGGGTACTTAGTCAGTATGGGTTACCGTATCTCTTGGGGGAAGAAGGGTTGTAGAATACGGCATCCCAAACTCGGAGAGCTTGAGGTGAGTGTGGTGAAGGGATGTCCTTTGGTACCTAGGGAACTTGGGATGCGGCTTCTGGATCAGTATGAAAGGTTTAGGGCAGGGTCTCGTTCGGTAAAGGGATTGACATGCTCTGAAGCTGGGGAACAGCTTAACGCGAAAGAAGTGAAGATGTGGTTAAGGGATCAACTGAAGCAGTCGGCTGCCGGGTTGCTAGATCGGGTTACTCAAGTGAGCCTTTTGAGGAGTGTGTTTCCTGGGATCTCGGATTGGGTTCTAGAGAGGACGGTAGTTGATCCGGAAGATCCCTTTGCGGGTTGCCAGGGTGTTGCTCCTTGGAATCGCAGGCTTAGGAGGAGTGTTGATCGGGATACGCAAGGGTCGGTACTTCTTCGTGTTGGGGCTGTAGGCGACAAGTGGAAGGGTCCTGGACGAGTAGTAGAGCTTCGGAGGGACTTCGGTAGTGATCTCGGGATTGTGCCGGTCTTCCTTCAGGTTCTAAAGTGGGCTCAGTCTGGTGTTCTTGGAGGAATTGTGGCTTCTACCGAAGAAAAGGGTTTCGAACTGGGAAGTAGTCTTTCGGACAGTGAAAAGGAAGCTGCGTTGAGAAAGCAGGTATCATGGTTCAGGTTATGCTTAGTGTATATGGTGGCGCAGGCAGCTGCTGAGAACACTGCTTGTGAAGTTACCGAGCCGCGTGAGCCTGCTGGTGAGGGCGAGTCAGGGTCCGGAGAGCCTCCTCAGGGTCTTGATGATCCTCATGAAATAGCCTTGTGGGCTTTACGGAGGGCCGCTGTCAAGCTTCAGATGTCGGTTGAGCCGGAGTTGAGTGACCTAAAAGGGGGGCCCCGAGCTGCAGAGAGTCCGCCTGTATGCAAAGGTGGTCAGACAGAGAGGGCTGTCTTCTTTGTCTTAGAGGGGTCCTTTGATGGGTTGACTAGGCCTGAAGAAGTGGAAGGGCTCCGTGAGGCATATGGGTTGTACCGGGTATCTTTTGATCAGGGATGTCTGGGAAATTTGGCGCGGGATTCCACTGTCCTTGTGACCTCTTCGTGGGATGTGTTCGAGAGCCTACATGCCCTGCGGGTTCCGGAACATATTCAAATGCCTGAGTCTTCGAGGATCAATGGGAGTCGGGTTTGGGCTCCAGGTTTGATTGGGTGTGTGAAAAATGCTTGGGAGAAGTGCCGACGTAGTAGGCTTGAAGTTGGGGACCTGAGTGAGCGCCGAGCTTTGTTGGCGAAGCTAACCGAAGAGGAGACTCTTCGTAGGCATAGGGCCAACGATCATATCCCTTTTAGGAGGGGGTGTGGTGACTGCATAGCTGCTCAAGGTCGCCAGCGGAGTCATTGGCGATCTCGGATCACCACCTTGTACTCTTTGAGTGTCGACATTGCTGGACCGTTCAAGGATGGTCGCAGTTTTGACCCGATTGCGTCTGGCAGGGATCGTGGACGTGGCTATAAGTACTTCATTGCTGCAGCGTACTCGATACCCTTGAGTCCCGAGTTGCGACCTGATTTGAGTCCTCCTGATGATCTAGCTGAGTATTGTCCTTCTGAGTGTGAGCAAGAAGCTGCAGGGGTAGGACCTATAGCCGATGAGGCGTCTGAGGATTGCTCTGAGTGGCTGGACGGGGTACATGAGCAGATTGCTGGAGGGTTCTCTAGTAAGGCCTTGTTCCGTAGGGTAAGAGGCAAGACGTTCCCTAGGGTTGATCCGTTACAAGACGGAGCTGAGTTTGCAGAAAGAAAGGCTCCTGGCCCTGATTTACCGGGGAACGCTGCAGACGGGGCAGAAGAGGAGCCGAAAGTCGTCACGAAAACCCTTTTTCTTGGGATTCCGTTGCGCACCAAGCGTGGCTCTGAAGTCATGGGACAGGTTCAAGCTCTGGTCAACAGGTTGGAGTCGTTTGGGTACCCTGTTCACCGCTACTTCGCAGACCGTGCTAAAGAGCTGAGGAGCCATGCTTTGATTCAGTGGCTTCGAGAACGCGGCATTCGTGCCTCATTTACCGCAGGAGAGGATCCTGCTGGAAATAAGGCAGAGGCCAGTGTCCAGCGGTTGAAGCAAGATGCCAGGAAACTCCTTCGCGTTGCCGATCTGCCAATCGAGTTTTGGCCATTTGCTATTCTTCATGCTTCGCAAAGACACTTTGTGCAAATGGCTGAGGCTTTGGGTGTGGGACAGGCTGTCCTTTTACCGTTTGGGGTATGGTTGCATGCGCGAAAGCGTTTGAAGTCGGGTCATAAGAAGCATTGGGAGACACGAACTGTTCCGGGCAAGTACCTGGGGGTTGCAACTGATTGTGCTGGTGGGCACCTGGTGTTAATCCAGGATGGGTCCGAGCAGCGTGTTTTGCTAACCAACACTGTCTACCCTGTTGATCCTTTGACAGTCCCGAAACCCAAGTTTCGTTTGACTACCAAAACCCCGCCGGGTTTTGCTGTTCGGGCTGTGGCTGCTAAGAGCGCCAGATGGCCAACCGGCCGCTCTTCTGTTGCCAGGTTTGCACCTGGGGGGGAGTGCGTTGGGTGTTTGAGAGATTTCGAAAGTTCTGAGGGGCCGAAGTTTGAGACCGGGCTTGAATCAGGGTCTTCCAGTCTTTCCGAAGAGGCTTCAGATGGGGATCTTGGTGTAACTACGGATGAGGAAGGGTTTCAAGAACTCCAGGTTGATGGTACGACCGTGAAGCTTCTCTTTGGAGATTCTGGTGTTTGGCTGGGAAATAAGCTTGAGACTGGTGACTACAGCACGGTTGAGGCATTAGAGGTGCTTAGAAGGTGTGCTGACAAGCTTCCTCCTCCAAATCGAAGGGTATTGGGTGGAAAAGGTAGGTGTGCTGTGATGGGGTTGTACAATCAGGGGGGTTTTCAAGGCGTGTCGAGGTTCGCCAAGGATCATGGGGATCTTGTGCGTTACTTGAACAAGTTTGTTCGAGCTCAGGGTTGCGAACATCCTTACACTACCCTGTACCTTACTCGTAACACCTCTACCCCTTTGCACCAGGATGCTAGAAATGAAAGAGTGGTACCGGTTTGGGTGATTGCTCTTGGGGAGTTTCAAGGAGGTGGCTTGTGGGTTGAAAGTTCCGATGGCCAGGGTCCTGTTTTAAGACAGTTGCCGGGGGGTGACTTAAGGGCTGGTTTTGTCAGGGATATTCATGATAACCCGTGCACCTTTAGTGGTCAATTGTGGCATTGCGCTGAACCTTGGTGTGGCAAGGATAGGTGGGTGATTGCTGCCTATGCTCCTCGGGGTACATGGAAGATTCTGAACGAATACGCTCGTGAGCTTGAGAGCTTGGGGTTCGATTCTAAAGGGTTGGATCACCTTTTCGCTGCAGAGCGTGCTTCGATTTCAAAGTTTAATGCTGAGGGTGATGAGGACTTGACCTCTGAGGGGCTTTGGGAAGTTGAGTTTCCTTGTGAAGTGTTGAAGCCTGGTTGGCGTGAGCACGTTTTAAGAAATCACCTGTCCTCAGCTTTGGCGTGTAAAGTCCTTGTGAAGGAGCTTAGCTGTTTTGGAAATGATGATGTAGGCTACGAATTGATTCGGACCTTGAAGTCGGTTGAATGCCAGCGCGAGTGGTATGAGGGACTTCTGTGGGATGACTTTGTCAGGAATTCTGGGAGTATGTTAAAGGCTTTGAATCAGGATGTTCCTCTGAACCCGGAAGACCAAACCAGCCCTGCCGAAGCTTTTCTCCAAACGAGGACAGTAAGCTTAGCTGAGGCAAAGGGTGAATTGGTGCTATGGATACCTTCGGCTACTGAGGAAGTTGTCTCTTTGGAACAAACGAATGAGGCTGTTGAGCGCATTGTCGTGTCGGACATTGAGCGGTTGATTCAAGAAGGAAAAAGGGTAACCCAGGTTCCAGGAAAGGCAGTCCTAACCAGGAAGGCTGGTGTTGGGAAACGCCGATTCAGGTGTGTCGCGTGTGGGAACTACATCCCCACTGGCTCTCCTGATTCCAACAACCTTTATGCGAGTGGCGTTGAAAGCTTGACTGTCAGAACGGCATTAGGTTTTGCTGCTTACCGTGGTTGGGCAGCTTTGAGCGCCGACATAAGGACGGCCTTCCTTCACGCGCCGTTGGACGGCGAGCTTGAGTCCGAAGAAATTATCATTGTCAGGCCTCCATCTATTCTTGTAGACATGAAAATTCTTTCCCCGAATCATCGATGGCGCGTGCGTAAAGCACTGTATGGGTTACGACAAGCTCCCTTGGCTTGGGCCCGGTTCCGAGATAAGTCATTGCGGGTGCTGACCTTTCAGTGTGACGGTGCATGGTATGCCTTGCAGCAGGGTGTCAGTGATGATTCGCTTTGGTTCATCACTAAAAGCGAGATTGCCGAGGATGACACTGAGCGTTGGCATGGTATCTTGATCATTTACGTTGACGATCTTTTGGGTTTCGCTTCATCGGTGATCCTTAGTGCCCTTTTCGATGAAATACAGAAGCTGTGGAAGCTTTCGGAACCCGAGTGGATTCGGGAGGAGGCTGCCACTAAGTTCTGTGGGTTGGAAATCCAGGCCCTACAACGAGGAGGGTATCGCATATCGCAGGTTTCCTATTTGCAGGAGCTTTTTGCAAGATACGACGTCACAAGCAGTGCAAGTGCGCCCTTGAGTAATTGGACTGATCCGGAAAATGAGCAACAGGTGCAGTTGGAGACTGTCCGGAAGGCGCAAGCCCTGACAGGTGCTTTGCTTTGGGCTTCGTCGAAAACCAGACCCGATATTGCTTTTGCTGTCAGTAAACTTGGGCAATATGCTGTGAAGGCGCCAAGCATTGTGATTGAGAGCGGGCATCAAATCCTGCGCTACTTGTATGGTACGGCGGACCTGTGGCTGGAATACCAGAAGCCAAGCGACAATTCCTGGCTTGACGCTCCGGTTCCTCGAACTTTAAATACTCTGGAGTTGTACACCGACGCTTCCCATGCCCCTAACGGGGGGCGATCTTGCCAAGCGATGGTCATCCTATGGGGAGGAAATGTGTTATGCTGGGAATCCTGTCGTCAACCGTTTGTGACTCTGTCCTCTACGGAGGCAGAGCTAGTTGCAGTCACCGCCGGAATAGTTGCTGCAGAATCAATTGGGGGCATCATTGAGGAAATGATCGAGTCCGACATCACGGTCTCTGCCTTGTGTGATAACCAGGCAGCGGTAAGGTCGTTTGCTGTTGGAAGTCTCGGGTGGCGTAATCGACATCTTCGCATGAGAGCTGCAGCTGGGCGTGAACGTATAGATGCGGGATCTCTAGTAGTCACCTATGTTCCAGGATCGATTCAGCTCGCAGATATAGCTACGAAACCACTGTCTCGAGCTAGGATTCTTCAGCTTGCGGAACTAATGAATATGCGAATGAGACTTTCGCCAGCTGGGGCAGATGATTCGATCCGTACAGTCAGCAGGTTGTCTTCCAGCTTCGGATCCCAGGGATCTGTCTCTCCCCGGACCTTAGCGGGTCTTGCATTGGTTGCTGTGTTGTCTGGTGTCCGAGCTCAACCGGCATTGCGAGTTGAAGAAAGGATTGAATGGATTCTTTGGTTCTTCGGAGTTTTGGTGGGTTTGGTTTTGCTTGCTTGGGCTCAGTGGTTCCTTGGTTTAGGTTTCAGAGGCTTTTGGCGGGGGGAACAGTTGCGGGAATTAGTAGGCGATGCTGTCAGTCTTGGGGGTTTGGAGTTTGCTGCCGAGGCTCAACAGGACTTCGGGGTTGGAAATGAGGTTTCCCTGGCTTCTGAAGTTGAAAGTAGGGCTGGTTCTGAAGGTGATGGGTCTGAACAGTTCTCTGAAACTGAATTGCTGGAGGCGCAGCGCAAACTTCAGGAACGGGAGCGCAGCAGTCAGCAGGTTCCTCCAACTCCCGATGTGCAGATTGGGGGGAGCAATAGCAGTCAGCAGGTTCCTCCAAGTCCCGATGTGCAGATTGGGGGGAGCAATAGCAGTCAGCAGGTTCCTCCAAGTCCCGATGTGCAGATTGGGGGGAGCAGTAGCAGTCAGCAGGTTCCTCCAAGTCTCGGTGTGCAGATTGGGGGGAGCAGTAGCAGTCAGCAGGTTCCTCCAAGTCTCGATGTGCAGATTGGGGGGGGCAGTCGCAGTCTGCAGGTTCCTCCGAGTGGTGTTGAAAGCTTGACTGTAAGAACGGCATTAAGCCTTGCCGCTTACCGGGGTTTGGCAGCTTCGAGCGCCGACGTACGGGCGGCATTCCTTCACGCGCCGTTGAACGGCCAGCCTGAGTCCGAAGAGATTGTCACTGCGCAGTCTCCATCCATTTCCGTGCTGAATCTCCTTGACTTAGAAGATGACCCTACTCCAGATGATAGGCCCCATAGAGCTGTAAGTCCCCGGGTTCCTGTAGAAGGTCAATTTTTCCTTGGGGAAGGGTGGTCTTCTTCTGAAAGCGAAAGCGGAGATTCGACAACTGAGCCGTCGATATTTTCTGTGTCTAGCGGAGATGCTGCTGTCGATGAAGAAGTATGGGTTATTCATGATGCCGAGGCCAGACTTGCCCAGGCAGACGAGCCACAACCTTTAGGAGTGAACTTCCGAGCTGGGCATGAAGTGCTAATAGGGACCTATGCTGACGACGAGGTTAGTATAGCGCTTCAGGGATGGTCCCAGGCTGAGGTTGAGACTATTGTTACCGGGCTGAATGAGGGTGAATGGACGTCGTTTCATGCAATGCTGGCACAGACCAGCAATCAAGAAAGTCAGAGTTCCACTCAAGTTCAGGGTTCGCAAAGTGTGGTTTGGGTCGTCGGGGTCGGGGTCGGTTTATCTCTTGTTGGGGCATTCGTTCAGTTGTGGAGCGTTAGTTTTGTGGCGTGTTGGTTCTTGCTGCTTTGGTGTAGGAGTAAGGGGGATTTTGCAGGGACTTTTGGGAGGATTTGGGGTGTGCGGCCAAGGAGTGATAGGCGCTGGGTCGTACTTCTCTATGTTCTCTGGTTAGTCCTGGGCGGCATTCTTCCTAGTTCTGCAGAGGTAGTAACCTATGGGGATGAACCGGTTTCTTTCGGCAGGTGGGATGAACCGACTGGTAGCTCCACTGGGGTTGGCGATGTGTGTCTGGAGGATGAGCAAGGGTCTAGCTCTGAAGAAGCCGGGAGCTGGGACTGGTGGCTGTGGGTTGCCTGCGTGATTGGAATCTGGGAAATCGTTCGTGCCTTATCTCTTCGTGTGTGCAGAAGTAGAAAGACAGTGCAGGATCAGGCAGTCAGCGCCGAAACGGTGCCGTGGCCTTTGCATCCAGGTATCCCTCACCGAGCGAACATCTTGTACTGCTACTGGCGTGCAGGATACGTGTTTGACGTACAAGAATATCCTGAAGCGGTTCAATCACGATTTTATGGCCTCCTAGGCTCTCACCTTGAGAGGCGTGACAGAGATGGCTTGTCCTCCACAGACTCTTCTGATTGAACTGATTTTGGGGCATTCTGAATAAGATCAGCGGTGTCCTAAGTTGCGGATGCTGGCAACTGCCAAAAAACCAAAGGAGACGAAGACTATCAGCTGTTATCTCCAGAATATCTGGGCTTTTAATCCTCATGAAGCTAAGTCTTGTGGGGGGTGTAGGATCATAGCTATAGTTTTCGGTCTCTGCTTGCATGCGTGGATGCCTCTTGATCCGACATCGAACTGCTCCAAAGGAGAAAGGGCTGCCGAAACAGAACGGCCTGTTCGAAATAGGGTCAAACATTTGTACAACGAGGCTTTTGTCCACTTTTGCAACCAAAGGACGATCCATCTGGGCTCGGGCATATAGAATGCTGATGTTTTCCTGGTGATGCATTCCAATCACCTGAGTCTTGGAGTCTCAGGTGAGGGGGAGTGCGTGAAGCATCCTGGCCGCTCAGGTGGAGACGTTGTTGCGTTACCGAGGCTGTCTTTTGTTCGAAAAAATCGAGGCGCGATCCGAGGGTCTAGGATTCAGACTTAGGCTGCCTAAGCTTTCTGGTCCCCGTAGGGTTCTGTATTTCACGTACTAAACCCTAAACCACAAACCCCAAACCCCAAACCCCAAACCCCAAACCCTAAACCCTAAACCCTAAACCCTACACAAGGAGCCACAACAAGGAATCCTCCCCTTGCCCTGCTCCTTGGCGGTTCTTTGTGGGTGAAGGACTTTGGATCCCTACTTTTCGCCCGGTGTCTGTAGCCCTAAACCCTAAACCCTTGTAGCCCTAAACCCTAAACCCTAAACCCTTGTAGCCCTAAACCCTAAACCCTAAACCCTGAACCCTAAACCCTAAACCCTAAACCCTAAATCCTCTGGTGTGGTGCCAAAGAGCAGCACGTGTGCAATCACGGCGAAGCAGGAGAACCTGGCGGGTCGCATTTCTTCGGGCTTGGGGTTTAGGGTTTAGGGATTAAGGTTTGGGGTTTAGGGGTTAGGTGTTCAGCACAGTTTTCTAAAGAAGGAGCTACAAGGAGAGGCGGCAAATTCACAGGCCAACGCCCCACCTTAGAACAAGACTACACACCGCACATCTTAAAAGTCTCACTTGAGCTTGATTTCAGGAAACTGTAGGACAAAGAAGACAAAGAAAGGGTAGATCCCACACTGCAGAGGTGGGGGTTTAGGAGAATAGGGGACCCCTAATATAGATCCCAAATAGTCGGATTCCCTTAGAAGAAAAAAAGGGAACCCAATAAGGTACCCTTAATTCGGTAAACCCTAACCCTAAACCCTAAACCCTAGATCCTAAACCCTAAACCCTAAACCCTAAACCCTAAACCCTGAAAAAACAAACCGGGTGCATGTTGAGCAGCGGCTTGCCAAGAGTCCTTTTGTGGCAATATGAAGCTTTCCATGGGTACGGATGCCTACTGAGATACCATGCTGCTGGCATTTCGGCCTTCGGGTGGAGGATTTTGGGTGGGCTGCGAATGGACACCCGTCAAGAGGTGGAAGGTTTAGGACAGAAACTCGGGGCATTGAGGATTGGGGGGGGGGGGGGGGGGCCTCACTTGCTGGGTTTTGGACTCACGGACTTGGTAAGTTATCTCAGCTCGGGTGTGTCCTAAGCAGAAGATTAGGGTTTAGGGTTTAGGGTTTAGGGTTTAGGGTTTAGGGTTTAGGGTGTGTGTTAAAATCGGTGAGGGATGTTGGGAGGATCTCTGGGTCAAATCTGTTTCAACTCCTGACGAGGGTGCAGTGTCCAGAAGATCATGAAGAAGTGCCTCAGCTGCAAGGTGTGGAGAGAGAGAGAGGAGAAAAAAAAAGAGAGACAGAGAGAGAGGGAGAGAGAGAGAGATAGGGAGAGAGAGGGTTGAAGATTTTGGGAAAGCACTAGGCTCAGCTCTTAGTTTGCGTTAAGTGGTGAGATCTTGCAATACCACGCACTTCCAGTGCATTGCACGCGCCTCCTTCCCGAAACGCAGGGTGTGGCTTCTGGCCGGAAACCCCAAACTCGACGCCCCAAAGCCTAAACTAAACCATCATGCTGCTTTCGATGGCCACAGGCTCGCAAGCCTTGCCAGCCTCAGCCGAGATTGTTGAGAAAACCAAGCGCGGAAGCACCTGCAACACCAGAAAGCCCGCACGTCCTCCGCCCAAGCCCAAACCCTAAACCCCATAAGCTACCCGATGCACCCTGAGAACCCGATGAGACGCCGAAGCCCTCCCGGGAATCCCTCTGCGAACCACTGCACGCCCGAAGCATTCCCAAAAGCCCCGAAATTCATGCCCTCCAAGAAAGGCCCCTGAGTACAAATAGACCAGAAGAGCCAGGTTGCGCTATGTTGTTGGCACCTGAGATGCAGTGGAGCTTTTTGGGAGGCCCGAAGCCCCTCAATTTTGGGGGTTTCAGGCTTGGGGCTTAGGCTGAGGATATTATGGGATCCGACACCCCCCACAATTTTCCAAATCCGAATTCTGCCCGAAAAACCCTTTGCTTGGGTTCTTATTGGGGTGGCTTTTGCGGACTTATGGGATGCGGCGGGGCGCGCCCGCAACAGGCTTCAAAGGCAAACCACAAAGGACTCGGGAGCTGCTTGGGGCTCTGAAGCTTAGCCCTGGAGGTTCGGGCTTTTTTGGCCTGAATGCTAAACCCTATAACCCTGTAGTTTAGGGTTTAAGGTTTAGGGTTTAGGGTTTAGGGTTTGTAGTTTGTAGGGTTTAGGGTTGAGGGGAGTTTGGGTAGTGCAAGTTTGGGGGGCACAACGCCCTGTTTAGCAGCCGAGTGGTGGCAAGGGGTTGGTGAACAACATCCCCAAATCCTGAAATCCTGAACCCCAAAACCCAAAACCCTAGACACCCCCAAAAAGGATCTGGGAGTCCCCCCCCAGGACCTAAACCCCCGAAACTCCTGGATCCCCTACACTCCCAGACCCCCTAGACCGCCTAAACTCCGAAGCCACCAAGACTCGACCCAAGAGTAACCTCCCAGAGATTCCAACCCTAAACCCTAAACCCTAAACCCTAAACCCTAAACCCTAAACCCTAAACCCTAAACCCTAAACCCTAAACCCTAAACCCTAAACCCTAAACCCTAAACCCTAAACCCTAAACCCTAAACCCTAACATAAGGGTCGGCTCTGAGTCCGGGGAGAGCCCCTGAGGCCAAGCTGCTGTTCATCAGCGCATCCATCACGATCTGAAGCCGCGGATTGGCTCTGAAACCCTGGGATCATGCCAGCAACTTTGCACTCTTACTTGGCGGGGGAGGGGGGGGGGAGGGGGTTTAGGGTTTAGGGTTTAGGGTTTAGGGTGTAGGGGATTAGGGTTTAGTTCAGGGGTGTAGCGTGGGACCAACCCAGCAGCTTGGCTTCTACTGTAGGGATCGGAATAATTGCTGATAGCATTCCGTTAGGGTCCCTCTACATGTATCCTCTAATAAACCCTTCTAACGATTAAGGCCCCCTCTAGTACTTAGTTTGGGGGGGGAGGGGGTGAGGTTGAGGTTGAGGAGGCTTAGCGTTTCGGATTGGTTTAGGGTTTAAGGGTTTAGGATCCTGGGCTTAGGTTCGATCGGATGTGGTGTTTGGTCTTTGGTGCTTGGGCTTTGAATCTCCCTCCTTGAAATACCCAAGCTCTCCTAGACCCTAGACCCTAGACCCCAGACCCTAAAACCTAAACCCTAAACCCTAAGCCCCAAACTGGAACTTCAACCCATCTTCAGCCGGGCCTTGAAGAACTTGAGGATGACGGTCAGGGTGAGCAGACATGTCAAAACCCTCACCTTGGGATACCCACTCTCCCCCTTGGAGCAGGACTTTGAAGAAAAGGGTTTAGGGTTTAGGGTGTAGGGTGTAGGGTTTAGGGTTTAGGGTTTAGGGGTTTGGGGGTTTAGGGTTTAGGGTTTAGGGTTTGGGGTTTATTCCTGCTAGGCTGCTTTGCTATATCGACATAGGGGCAGACATCCTGAGGAGAGGATAGGGAGGCTGGAGGGACTTTAGGGTTTAGGGTTTAGGGTGTAGGGTGTAGGGTGTAGGGTTTAGGGTTTAGGGTTTAGGGGTTTAGGGGTTTAGGGCACACATTTGCGTGGCTCAAGCTTGTCGAGTCTTTGTACCCTTGTCTGGGAGCGCTGGCAGTTACATGCTGAAGCAACGCAACACCCGACAAGGGCCAAGGCCAGGAATCCCGCACGCAGAAGAATCCCAGCCAGGCGAAATCCCCCCGTCAAGCCAATTTTCAGACACGCTGCTCTCTCCTGTTCCAAGGACAGGGACTCAAGAAACCCGAAACCCGAAACCCTAAACCCTAAACCCCAAACCCCAAACCCTAAACCCTAAACCCTATTCCAAGGAAAAAGGACCTCAGGAAACGCATCACTCAGACACTTCCTCAGCTGGCGACCGACAGCAGCCAGTGCTGGATGTTTATGAGCTCCTCCTCAAAAGGCAAAACCCGGATCTTAAGCTCGCCCAGCAACTCCCCAGGGGAGGGTGTAGGGTTTAGGGTTTAGGGTTTAGGGTTTAGGGTTTAGGGTTTAGGGTTTAGGGTTTAGGGTTTAGGGTTTAGGGAAGTGTGCTGCTCTGCGTAGACCCGAAACGTGTGGCCAGAGACCCAAGCTTGTGAATTGTGGGTTCGGCCTGGGCTTTTGGGCTTCAGTGGGGCGCCGAGCGTGCTAGCACCTCAGGGAGTTCAGGCATTGTTTGGGGTTTCGGGCTTGGAGTTGTTCATAGAGCTTTGCTTTAATTATTGCTCATGGCGCTTTAGGTGTGGGAGCAGGGTTCTTCAACACGCCTCCCTTGTCTAAACCCTAAAGCCCTTAAACCCCAAACCGCCAAGAGCCCAAAACCAAGAGAGCCTGTCTACCAGAGACAGCACCCCTCACCTTAAACCCAGAACCCTGAACCCTGAACCCTAAACCCTAAACCCTAAACCCTAAACCCTAAACCCTAAACCCTAAACCCTAAACCCTAAGCGCCTGCATCACCCAAAGCTGCGCTTCATCCGGAGCCAGTGGGTCAAA